GTGGAAGTGCTCTATTTTTTAAAAAAAAAAAGTTGAAGAACTATATTATATATACTTGTTGAAATAAAAAAGACAGGTCTTCCTTGATAACAGGCAAATAGGTTGGAAATAAGAGAAAATAGGATATATATTTTTATGGATAATACTAAATGGCCAGAAAATTTGGTCAAAATTTAGCCAAAAATTTAAAAAGTCTATAATATCCTTTTCATTTTAAAATAAACTGATATTTTCCCATTTTTTTAATTAAAAGGTATTAAAGTTAAAAGGATAAAAATGTTCAAAAAGGTAAAATAACATAGTGTGAAAATATGTTATTTTACCATTCTGGCAAAATTTTCTGGCCAAAGAATTTTCCTATTTTTATTTAGAACCCTGAATTTTGAAAGGTAGTATAATATTTAGCCTTTTGGTGTTTGGAAAAATAGTTGATTATGACTCTAAGCTAGCATTTTGACCATAGTTTAAGATCAGATTTTAAAATTTTTTATTCAATTATTTGTTTGACTCTGAAATTTGATTAGACTTCCACTCAAAAAACTTTCAAGTAAAAATACACGTTCAAATACAATTTCAAAAAACTCAAAATTTTAAGTTTCAAGTCTCCACTTCAAAATTTGTGGTCAAACAAGAGCTAATGAAAGGGTCCGACACTCTTCTTGTTGGATTTGTTTGAAGTTATTTTGGGCTTTTGAGGCCCTATCAAGTGTCAACAGGGTTCATATGCGTTTGTAAAGCAAGCCCACTAGTCAATTTACAAATGGGCTTTACTCATAAAGTGTGTCAAATTCTATCATTTGGATTTCCTCAGCTGGCCATAGAGTAGGTATCACGCTCCTGTATAACGCAATTATATTGTTACCACCCTATAGAAAATTTATTCATAAAATAAGCAGGCTCGGTATTCGGGGTGCGTAAACTAAGTCTCGATATAAAGCAAAAAGAAAAATAAGAAAAAAACTACTAATTAAGTGTTAGATACTCTTAATGGTGTCAAGTTTTTTGGATGAAAACTGTGGGATCGACTTGACTCAAAAAAGACAATATCACATCATATCAAGAGTGTAATATATACCATTATATAATTAGGATACAAATTACTAAAATTCGAAGTTCAGATATTTGAATTTCAAAATAGGCCTAGGCAGGCTAATGGGTTCTATTTGATCCCTCACCCAAAGCCCAATTATATGGGGCTTAAACCTTGGATTGATGGGTTATATAGTTTGGACTTTGGCACTAGTTAGCGAAAAAAATTATCATGGCAGAGCCCAACCAACAAAAGATATGTGAGGCTCCATTCATTTTTTGACACATGGACAAGTGGGCCATTTATGTATTTTTCTACTTTAAAACAAGAATTTTCTACAACTAACAAGAGAGAGAAAATATATTTACACATAAATTGAGTAAATATATTTTCTTCTCTCTTGTTAGTTGTAGAAAGTTCTTGCTTTAAAATAGAAAAGTACATAAATGGCCCACTTGTCCGTGTGTCAAAAAATAAATAGAGTCTCACACACCTTTTGTTGGGTGGGCACCTACCATGATAAAATGTTTCCTAGTTAGCACTTAGCACTAGGACTAGGAATTAGCATAAAATATTTGTATATATTGTTGATATATCATAAAGGGATATTAATTGATTTGGTGCTAGATATTTTTTTAGGCTATAGTTTGAATTTTAAAATAGTTGAAGAGACATATTGATCCTCTCTTTATAGTTTAGAATATTTTGGAGAAAGAAGAGTGAACCAATTCAGAATATATCAAATTCCTAATGGAAGTTTAGTCAAAATCATATCTTATTCCAATATTCCCAAGCTTTGAACTTAGAAAAAAGAGATTATTCTTTTTATTATTATTACTATTATTATTTTTAACTCTAAAGTAAAAAAAAAAAAATTGCTTTTTGGAAGGGTTATTTTTCTTGTAAAAAAAGTAGTAGTAGTTGGAGAATTGGACCATTTCTTTTGCGCTACATATACTGGCATATTCAATAGTACCTCATATTTGTCATAATTTTCTGTTTTTCGTGGGCCTTGTAGCTGCTATTTATTTTACTTCCCGTTTCTTATCTTATGTAAATACATTTTCTATTTTAGTTCGTTCCAAAATATATATATATATCATGTTTTTTTATTGAAAATATTTTTACTTTAAAATTCACATTTTATTGTTAATGAAATGATTAATAACTGCACAAATGTCTAAGACACTAGTAATTCCGTCTTAAATTATTGCCACATATATATATATATATATATATTAAGACGGAAGAAGTCTCTACTAATGTTTTTGTTCAATGCTAGTCCCATTGATAATTTGATTGATAGAGTGAATATAGAAAAAATAGAATATCTTCATATGAAAAAATTAGAAAGTTACCCATTACTTTTATGACAATTTGTTTTCTGCCATTCATTTTCAGCTGGTTCGATGGAAATGCGTGGAAAAATTATTTACTACAGCATAAATTTTCCATTAATTTGTGCTGAAACAAAACCTTTATTTCTAATAGTGAGTAACATTTTAGTCAATTGGTTAAAATAGCAGTAGTAATTTGTAGTTGTCTTGGTGTATATTTAATGTATAAGAAATATTTAATTAATTTGGACATTGATTATACATTGTATACTAGCTAAAATTTGTAAAAATAGTATAGTTATTTTGTGTTGTGGGCTTTGTTTAGCTTAGTATAGTATGAAAACTCTTCTTTTTTTAAGGATTTTTTCATTCACAAGACTGGAACTCAAAACCTCGAATTAAGGAAAAAAGTAAAAAACAATTACATCCATGACACCATATCATTTGGCGGTATTGATTCTTCTAGTCAATAATTAAGGAGTATTTCTTTTTTATTTTCTTTCATGAATGCACTTGTTTGGTATTATACTAATGTAGTCAAACATATTGAAATTATACTTGATGGTTTTTCATATAATTTCTTGTTCCTTCTTGCATCTTATACCACAAAAAAACGTATCACTTTTTTTCTGAATAAAACAGAAATTAAATATCAAATCAAGTGAGGTCAATATCATTAAAGATTTGTGCCTATGTTTTCCCTCAGGAGATTTTCTTCTTTGTCCTTATTTGGAATTAACTTGTCACGTCTCTATTTTTCAAAGTGGACATAAAAATAACAATGATACCCTGGCCACCAAGACAATAACATAATTTTATAAAAAAAAAATGTGTACGTAATTTTAACATTCTAAACTCATAAAATTTAAATTATGAATATGTCTCTGTTGTAACAACAATCAAAAAAATTGTAGTGGAAAAACTTTTTCTATCGAGAGAGAGATTAAAAAAATTTGTGTAAGCTTAGGCAACAGATAATATTGACTATTGAACTAGGATAAAATTCCTTTTGCCACTTCATGTAATTAAAAAATTATAAATAGATACTTTATTTAAATTCCTTGACAAAAATAAGGAGGAAAAAAGGACCGAAAGGGGCAGGCCTAATAAATAATTAATGGAACGCAACATGAACTCATCATGAAAATGTGTGTGGGTTTGTTTTCTACTCGGTGTGTGGTATTAATCATGTTGGAATTCAACTAATTAATCTGAATTTATGTCGGAAAGTCTCATTTAGGGGTAGAGCTTCTCCTATCAAAAATAATTTTATAGTCAGAATTCGAATTTAAAATCTTTAATTAAAAATAAAAGAGTACTTATCATCCCAAAAACTTTTCGATAGTAGTAGTGATGATTAATGGCATGCTAGATGATATATATATATATATATATATACTTGTGGTTTACACATTAGATTTGCACTCCATCAGCAAAATCACTAGCTAGCCATCATATATGTAGAAACCTAGATTGCTTACTCATTACATCATTCAACTAATGGATAAATATATATGACTCATTAATCATATACATAGCAATTAGGACATGTATAGCCACAAATTTTTATATTTAATTATTACGTGCAATATTCTAAGTTCGTATAATTTGAATTTACAAGTACCTACTTCTTAGTGGATTATGTTGAGTTTAAATATATTCTATATTTGACATGGCTCACTACTCAAATCTCTATTTTTAGGTCACCATTTATAATGTATATAATTTTTTTTTAAAAAAACAGTGCAAATATAGCCCTTACGATCACCCTTTGTGATAACGTCAAATTTGAGTCTAATATTTACTCATATATTACTCAACCTTATAGATAAAATATTAAACCATCTTCTTGTAGTGAACGTTTGCAAATAACTTATAAACTTTTAAATTGTAATGTAACGCCTTCTCATAAGATTTTCAATTTGCTCAAAAAATATATATTTAAACTAAAATCTAAAAAGGTCTATAAGTTAAAACAGAAACAGGAATTTTACCAAACACCTATCTCAAAAAAGGGACAGCCCATGAAAAACATTGTATATAAGTTTTCTTTTTTTTACCTTATGTGATGAAGATAGAAAAGGTGTGGTGGGGTGAGGTGTATGTGAAGCACATGTAATTCCATAAAAGTATGCAAACAATAGTAAAAAAATTCAAAAAGGGTTAGCTCATATAGCAAGACTAATGAGAGCTTCAATTTTTTTAATCTTTTATGTTGTTGTCTTACTCTTTGGGGGAGGAATCTCTCCTATAGTAATTCCCTTCTTTATTATCTCGTGCTAATACAGTATCCTTTTTTCTTCTCTCCTCTTTATCATCTCGTCTCAGATGCAATATCTATTTTTCTTCTCACGAACCAACCCCCCCCCCCCCACCCCCCCTCCCCCCCCCCCCCCCCCCCCCCGCCACTCTTTTTCTCCTTTTTCGAGTTCTGCCGCCCTCAGCCATCACCAGTCTCATTCCTTTCTTCTTTCTTTTCGAACACTACCATCTTCTTTGTCCTTCATCGAAATATGGTTGTCGCTATCCATATCCCTTACAATAACCCCCCCCCCCCCCCCCCCCACAAAAAAAAAAAAAAAAATCCCCAACCCCAACAACTATATCTAACCTTAGATCTTTAACTATAGTTCCATTTTATAAAAACTCTCTATATATCCTTTACTTCTTCTCCAAAAACCTTAGTCATTCCAATTAAAACTATCTCTCCATTACTTTAAAAAAAAAAACATGTTTTGCTCAATAGATCTACCAGATTGTGTTTATTCAAAAGAGCCTATTTTCATAAGTCCAATTAGTCCAACACCAAATCACACCCTTTATTTATCAAATCTTGATGATCAAATGTTCCTTAGATTTTCAATTAAGTATCTTTATCTTTTTACTAAGTCCATAAATTTGGAAAAACTTAAATATTCACTATCAAGAGTTTTAGTGGATTATTATCCTTTAGCAGGGAGATTATTAAAATGTCCAGAAAATAATCATAAACTTCAAGTAGATTGTAATGGAAAAGGTGCTATTTTTGCTGAAGCATTTTTGGATTTAAGTGCTGATGAACTTCTTGTTGTTTCTAATAAACCTGATAAATCTTGGAGAAAATTATTGTATAAAGATGAAACTCAAAGTTTCTTGGATATTCCTCCTCTAGTTGTGCAGGTTAGTTTCTAAATTACACTTATTTTTCATTTGAGTTTAACTTCTATACGTTAATTATCACATCACCTCTCAGAAAAAATGAAATTTAATGTTTATACATTAAAAAACACATATAGGACAAATATTTTTAACATATTGTCACTCTTCTTTTTTTCCTTATGAGCATGAAGCACACTAAAAATATGCTTGTGTGATTCTATTCTGTGTGTTTTTGCACTTTGTCTATGTATATAAGTTGGTAGAATTTTTTTTCGTTTAGTTTTTGAAATATCTTGATATAGTTACATGGTTCAACTTAGCTAGTAAGAGTTTGTATATTTTTAATTACAACAAGTGAACATTACTTAGAGATGTAACATTAAGAATATGTGCTATTGATTGATAATATCCTCTCAAATATTTGAAAATTTAAGGTAATTATTATGGCTAAAGATTAAATTTGTATTTCAATAGGACTTTCTTGTGATGTTCCCAAGACAACATGTATGGTTCCCTTTTCACCATCATCTCACATTTTCTTCTGATATTACCCATTAACACTAATATAAAGGTTTACATGCTTTAATTTGATTTGATAGTAACCTAATTAACTTTGGTCAAGTTCTTTGTATATTCAAATAGTATTAACTAGGAAGAATAGTGAAACATATACCCCATAATGCGCTTAAATTACTAATATATTTTTATGCTCACTTTAACAAGTGTACCTAAATTAATATTTCGAATGATAGTATCGAATAACGAACATAACATGTGAAGACAATGTGAAAACAATTCAAAAGTGAAAGTAGGATTTTGAATTTACATGTTCTGAATTCTAAAAAAATCTGAATAAATTAAATTTTCAACATATATAAAATTTGAATCAAAGCTATACTATATTTTATCAAATTCATAATAAAACCGTACATATCAAAGATGATTAGCTAGATATATATAACAATAGATTCATGTTAGGGTTCATATGTGAAGTAACGATATAATAATTACCTTTGTATTTGGAGTAGCATTGTTAGTAGAAGCAAAGAGGGAACACACAATGTTCATACGAATCTTCATTATCGAAAAATTATACTCTCTCTGTCTCAATTTATGTGACACTTTTCGTTTTTTGAGAGTCAAACAGTTTAAGTTTGACCGGGAATTTGCGCATGAAATCTTCAATTTTTTTGAAATGAAATTTATATATTTGTAAACTACGTAAAAAATATTATAAGTCACAATAATTGATAATTCAAAATATTTAAAAGATCTATAAAAAATTTACGATCAAAGATAAACTTATTTGAATCTCGAAATTCAAAACGAAAAATTATATTTTAATGAATAATTCTTTGAATGCACCATGGAAAATGACTTAAAGTGACCCTACTCCCACTTTCAATGGCTTTCTCCCTTTTGTTCCTTTCACTTTGTTTTATTTGGTCTTCTTTTTTCTTTTAGCTTAATATTTTTTATGTTAAATGACAAAAATATCCCTTCGTAACCACATTTGTTTCCCATTGTAGGTAACAAATCTCCGTTGCGGGGGCATGATCCTCTGCACCGCAATCAACCATTGCATATGTGACGGCATCGGCACCGCTCAGTTTTTACATGCATGGGCCCACTATACCGTGGACCCCACAGTCAGTTTATCAATCAAACCGTTCCATTCTCGCCACGTGTTGAAACCCCGTGATCCGACACAAATAACCTCTATACATCCCACATTTACGAAAATACCCCTTGATGATCCTAATCCCCAATTTAGCCTCAACCTTCACCAATATTTACAATCACAGCCTGTTACCCCTGCTTCTATTACCTTTTCACAATCCCAAATTCTACATTTGAAAAGACAATGTTCTCCCTCGGTAAAATCCACTAGTTTTGAAGTCCTAGCATCTCACACGTGGCGGTGTTGGGTAAAATCATTGGATTTATCGTCTTCTGTAAACGTGAAACTATTATTTTCCGTTAACATTAGGAAGACAGTAAAACCAGAATTACCACAAGGGTATTATGGGAATGGATTTGTGCTAGGGTGCGCCGAGGCACCAGTTAAGCAAGTGGTGAATGGTAACTTACAAGACATGGTAAAATTAGTGCAACATGCTAAGTCCGAATTAACAAACGATACGGTAAAATCAATCGTCGATTTATTAGAGGATAAAACGGTAAAAACGGATTTATCGACTAGTTTGGTAATTTCACAATGGTCAAGATTGAGCTTAGAAGAGGTAAATTTTGGAGAAGGTAAACCAATTCAAATGGGTCCATTAACAAGTGATATTTACTGCTTGTTTTTACCGTCATTGGGTGAAATTGATGGAATTAGAGTATTGGTTTCTGTGCCAGAAAATGTTGTGAAGAAATTTGAATATTATATGAAGGAACTTTGGGAGGTAAATGATGTTAATGGAGATATTATCAAAGGACATCTTCAATTTGAAAATCAAAAAATGATTTCTGCTTGAATTTAATTGTTTAGGAAAAAAAATTAGTTTCTAATTTTGATTTTCCTTTTTTTTTTTTGTGTGTGTGTATGTGTTTTCATGTAATGTGTATTAAAAGAAATTGTGAATGCAATAATCTATGTCCAATTAACTTTAAATTTGTAAAATTCAATCTCCCTAAAAAAATAAAAAACAAGAAGGTTAAAAACCATAGAAATGGAATGGAAAAGACCCGCTAGACACGGTCTCCGTTGTTCTTATCTCAGTTGAGGTTTGTTGGATTTATTTTCATATATTCTGCATATATATATGAGATATGGAGATATTCCTTTTCCTTTTCTAATTTTGTCATGTAAATATTCTTTTGATATTTTTTTTCCTTTTCATTTGATCTTGAGAATATTTTATTTTTTTAGGGTTTACCATTAGATGTCATCTTACTTGTATAAATACAACCTAATTGTATAGTTTTATTCATTCAAAAATACAGGAAGAAAATTTTCTATATTGTTCTTCATTTATTCTTTCATGGTTTCAGAGCAGTGTTAATTTTAATTTTTTAGTCTTCCGCTTTCATTTTTCTTCTCTATTTTCAAAAATGGTTGAAATTGAATCATCCAATACTCAAATCACAGAAACGAGTGATAGAGTTCCTGCAATTAATACAGTGGATTCATCACATGCTTTCTACATTCACCCTTCTGATTATACCGACATGAACCTTGTCTCCACTGTTTTTTATGGTAGGAGTTATGGTGGCTGGAGAAGGGCGGCTATTATAGCCTTTCAGCGAAGAACAAACTAGGATTCATTGATGGATCCCTAGTTGTTCCTACTGATATAACTCTTCAAAAGGCTTGGTCAAGATGTAATGACATGGTCTTATCCTGGTTACTCAATTCTCTCTTAAAAGAAATTGTTGAGTCTATCTTGTACTCCCAAATCGCCAAAGTCTTATGGTCTGACCTGGAAAATAGATTTGGTCAGGCTAATGGTGTCAAATTGTTTCAACTTCAAAAAGATTTAAATGCTGTAGTGCTAGGAAATTCCAGTATTTCTGCATATTTCACAAAAATGAAGAATTTGTAGGATGAGTTAGATGCACTAAACACTTTTTCTGCTTGTAGTTGTGAGTGTGTATGTGGAGCAAAAGAAAAAAGTATAAAAGCTCATCAAGATGAAAGGTTGCTTCATTTTCTTATGGGTCTAAATGACACTTTCATAGGGGTTAAAAGTAATATTTTGTTATCTTCCTCTCTTCCTACTATTGGTCAGGCTTATTCTTTTGTTATTCAAGATGAAAAACAAAGGGAAATTCTTGCTACTCCTGCTTATCCAGGAGAATCAGCATCCTTTCTTGTTGGTAATGCAGGAGAAATGAGGTTCAATGATTACAAAACTCAACAAGAAAATTTCATTAAGAAAACTTCTCTGGTGGGCAACTATTGTAAGAAGATAGGACATACTATTGACCAATGCTATAAGATTCATGATTTTCCTTCAGATTTCAAGTTCACTAAATCTAAGAAGTATTAAAAGGCTATTGCCAGCAATGTTTTTAGTACATGAGAAGGTACGTACTCATCATGGAGTGGAAAATGATTCAGATGTGAATTCTCTTAGTCAAGAAAATGTGGCACAACTTCTGCAACTTTTACAGAAACTAAATCAAAAGAATGATGGGTCTACTAATGCATCTGCAAACCTCACTTGTGCTGGTGTGACCAAGCTCTTTAATTCCTATGCTTACATGTTTAAAGTTGACACTTGTTCTTTGATATTAGATAGTGGAGCATCTGAGCAATATGACTTTTGATAGAAGTTTTTTCACTAATTTCAATCTTTTACCTAAACCTATCATGGTAACTCTACCTAATTCTCATAAAGTAAAGGTTACTCATTCAGGAACTGTTTCTCTTTTATCCAACCTATTTCTACAAAATGTTCTCTATATTCCTTCTTTCAGATTCAATCTTATCTCAATTCACAAATTATGTAAACAACTTCAAAAATATGTGCTTTTTACCCCTAACGCTTGTTTCATGTTAGGGCCCTTCACTGAAGAGGCCTCTTGTGCTTGGTAAAGAACAAGGAGGTCTATATATCTTCAAGTCAAGTCAGCCAACAGTTTCTACAAAGAGCCTACCTAGTTTCAGTCTTCATAGTCTATCGTTTTCAAGTTCTTTAATCTATGCGTTTACTTCTTGTTCTAGTTTCTTTGATTCCAATGTAAAAGAGAAGTTATGGTACTATAGATTAGGCCATATGCCAATGAGTAATATGAAGAAAAAATTTCAATTTTCTAAATCTTGTTCAAAGTTATCTTCTTCGTGTGTTATTTGTCCTATGGCAAGGCAATCAAAGTTATATTTTCCTTCTAGTGCTATTTGTACCAAAGTTGCTTTTGACTTAATTTATGTGGATACTTGGGTCCTTATAAATCTACTACATATGATGGGTATATGTATTTTCTTATAATTGTTGATGATTTTAGTAGAGCTACTTGGACTCATCTACTTGGGACTAAATCAAATGCATTCTCTGTCCTTCAATCTTTTATTTCTATGGTAGAAAGACAATTCAATTTCAAAGTTAAAATTATCAAAACTGATAATGTTTTTGAATTAGGTTGTGGAAAATTCAATCTAATTTTTTTCTTTCCAAGGGAATTATTCATCAAACTACTTGGGTCCACACTCCACAACAATATGAAGTAGTGGAGAGAAAACACAAGCATTTATTGAAAACATCAAGAGTTCTTTTATATCAATCTCACCTTCCTATTGGCTAATGGGGGAATGCTTGTTAACAACTATTTATCTTATAAATATATTTTCTTCCGGTGTTTTGAATTCAAGAACCCCTTTTAAGGTTCTGTTCAAAGTTAAACCATCTTATTCTCATCTAAAGTGTTTTGGTTGCTTGTGTTTTGTCTTTACTCTTCCTTTACATAGAACTAAATTTGATCCTAAAGCTTCACCTTGTGTGTTTATAGGATATTCATATGAAAAAAGGGCTACAAAGTGTTGGATCTACAAACCAAGAAAATTTCAGTCTCTAGGAATGTTATTTTCCATGAAGAATATTTTCCTTTCTCTTCACAATCTGATTTACATTCTACTTTATTTCCTTCTACTACTATCGTTTCTTCTGATTATTCCTTAGAATCTCATTTCCCACATCAAATTCAAATTCTGATTATTCTTCTGATTTTAATAATGTCCCCATATCTACTAGTCCTTCTAAATCTCCGTCTCCTTCCAATGTTACTTCACATATCAATTCCTCTCCTGATATATCTCCTATACATTCTTATCCATTACCTATTGTTCAAACTATACTCAAAAAATCTTTTAGGTATCACAAGAAACCTTATTACATAGAAGACTATATTTGCAATGCTCTCCATCTTACTGATGTGACTTCTTCTCGTTTCCTAAGTCCTGTTACTCCTGAGTCTTTATCTTTTAGTGATTTATCTTTTAACAATAAAGTCATGCTTAATTCCATTACTAGTATATAGGAACATGTTAGCTATATTCAGGCAGCTCACCATCCGAGTTGGCAGGAAGCCATGGATAAAGAACTTACAACTTTAAACCTTAACAACACATGAAATATTGTTGTGCTGCCTACAGGTAAAAAGGCTCTGCCATCTAAATGGGTTTAAAAGGTAACACAACACTCTGATGGAAGTAATGAAAGACTAAAAGCTAGATTAGTCATTAAAGGTGATGTGCAGAGAAAAAGTATTGATTATAATGAAACTTTTTCTCCAGTAGTCAAGATGACCACCATCAAGTGTATTTTAGCTATTGCGCTGAAGAATGGATGAGGTGTGTTTCAATTAGATGTGAACAATGCTTTTCTACATGGTGATTTAAATGAAGAGGTTTACATGAAATTTTCTCCCGGTCTTGCACCTCCTTCTCCTAACCATGTCTGTTTGCTTAAAAAATTCATTTATGGACTTAAGCAAGTATCCAGACAGTGGTATGCTAAACTCACTTCTGCTCTCAATTTTAAAGGTTTTAGTCATTCTATGAATGATTATTTTTTTAAAGAAATCTGCCGATTCTATTTCTATTGTGGCATTATATGTGGATGACATATTGTTGACAAGAAACAATGAAGCTAAATTAGCAGGCCTTAAAACTCTTTCTGGACAAAGAGTTTAAAATTAAAGATCTTGGTCAGTTGCATTATTTTCTTGGGATGGAGGTTGTGAGAGAACCTAGTGGTATGATTATTTCCCAAGGAAATTCACATTAGACTTACTACAAAAGTTTGATTCTCTACATTTATCTCATGTTTCTTCACATTTGGGTCCTAATGTCAAGTTACTAGCAAATAAAGGGATTCCCATAAAAGATCCTACTTTATACAGGCGTTTGTTAGGTAAGCTCAATTATCTCACACATACAAAGCCTGATTTATCCTTTACGGTGCAACATCTGAGTCAATATATGCAAGATCCTCGTGAACCTCATCTTGTAGCTGCTTTACGGGTTCTTCGTTATTTGCTCAAAGATCATGGTATTGGTCTATTTATGTTTGTATCTGCTTCTTTCAAATTGATGGCCTTTCGCGACTCTGATTGGGGTACTTGTCCAGATTCACGAAGATCAGTGAGTGAATTTTATATTTCTCTCGGGTCTTCTCCTATTTCATGGAAATCTAAGAAACAAACATCAATTTCTTTCAGTTCTGCTGAAGCTGAGTATAGATCTATGAGGAGGGTTGTAGCCGAACTTGCTTGGTTGGTTCGCCTATTTGATGATCTCTCAGTTCCGATCTCCTTGCCAGTACCTTTTCACTCTGACAGTCTTGTTGCGATTCACATCGCAAAAAATTCAGTCTTCCATGAACGGACAAAGCATGTCGAGATTGACTGTCACTTCGTCCTTCAACAGTATCTCGTCGGCTTAATTTCTTTATCTTATGTCAGATCTTCTTCACAACTGGCTGACATCTTTACCAAGTCCTTGACCGGACCCGTGCATCATCAACTTTTAGGCAAGTTGGGGGTTTCTTCCTCCCCTCCAACTTGTGGGAGGCTGTTGGATTTATTTTCATATATTTTGCACATACATAGGAGATATTCCTTTTCCTTTTCTAATTTTGTCATGTAAATATTCTTTTGATATTTTTTCCTTTTCCATTTAATCTTGAGAATATTTTATTCTTTTAGATTTTACCATTAGATGTCATCTTACTTGTATAAATACAACCTAATTGTATAGTTTTATTCATTCATAAATACAAGAAGAAAATTTTCTATACTGTTCTTTATTTATTCTTTCAAGGTTTTCTTTTAATTATATTATTAATAAAAGACCGCTAG